TATCTTGAGATTTTGGCTTTTCCATACTCCTTCGCACTTTCAAAGTCGAGATTCAAATTATCGTCTGATAAACATTGGTATTCACTTCTAGTTTATGTTAGTTTACAGTCGAACGATATTTACGTTGGATATCATTAGGTCGAAATTTTTCTGTTAAGTAGTGCATTTAATTTGATAGGGTGGCCGATCAAACTTTGCCCGGGAAAATATTTATAAAGCATTTGGCTCCTCTTGATAAATCTATTTCATAAAATTACACATGTGTTATAACATTAGTTTTGGGATCATAACGATTGATTTATGTAAATGGAGGGGGGGGGGGGGTTGCAGAAACCAAATCCTAACCATTCCCTAAATTGTTGATATATTTTCTCATTCATTTGCGGTTTAAGGCTTACTGAAATTGTTTCAAATGATCAGAAGACACTTGAAGACAAGGTATAATCTGAAAGTCAATTGGAATGGACTTAAACATGCCCAAACTCAAGATTGCGAGTAAATTTGACCAGGTGATATTAGCGCCCTTTTTTCCTACCGATAAATCAAAACTGCAGATGACGCTGAATATACAATTTTTACCTTTATATCTTTTGAAGTAAGGTGAAATAAATAAGGAAATTATATGGGCCCTTAAAATTATATGGAATTTTCGGTTGTGTCGCTTACCTTTAGTCAGCGCTTCAAAAACCCTGCCGTGTTCGTCATTCCCCTCCTACCCCCACCCCCCACCCCCCTCCTGTTTTTCCCTCCTTTTTTTCGACAAAGAATTTAAATTTTTTAGCACCTGAATATTAAAACTCTGAAAGGGGTGGCGCGTTCCTACAGAACGCGAAAAATATAAACTATCACTGACAAAAGCTGTTTTGAAAGGGGAGGGAGGGGTCATTGTTATATATCCCAACAGCTGTGGCTCATACATTCTAACCTCCATGACAAAAATGCACAGGTGACAGTTTGTGGCTATGTAGAGAACTCTTCTCCGCCCTGATTCAGTTTGGCTTGGCGCATGACAAATGCCGACTTGCAACTGCCAATTTGACGGGAAAAGTGTTAAATTATTAGCCTAAAAATGATGTAATTTTGTAAGTACAATTGACTGGTGTCAACCTAAATCAGAGTATGTAGTTATTTAAGGAAGGTCGCTTTCGAATTAATAAGAGGCAACACCAGAGGTGCAAGCCTAATCCATAGAATGCCCAACGACGCATGCTAAATCTGGCCAATGAAAGAATGGCAGAATTTGAGTTTCTCGTTTGGGATCATATTGTGCAGCTTCTTTACTCAAGATGAATGTTGAAAAACGGGTTTGTGTGGTAAAATATTGATCTTTTGGTTCTTTTTTAACTCGTAGGACAGCTCGGCAGTCCTCAATCTCTGGCCTATTCAAATTGGTCGGGGACAGCCGTTGACAGTCAGAATATGAATGCAACCTTCGAAGCAGAAAAGATTATCCCTAATCAATTCTTTGCTGGAAATATGAATTCCGTTGATCAATACCACTCTATGGCTCCTGATAGTCGTACATTTGCCCAGAATTACCTCCAAACTAGTTGTAGTCATATTCTAACAACACAGTGTTCACTTCCATCCAATATGACAGAAAGTGTCCAACGTCCAAAGAACTCCAAGATAAATTCAAATCGCTCGATGAACGGTGGATCGGTTCGTGTCCCAAAAGCGAGTACGTTGACTTACTGAGTAATATTTCAAGAATATATTGAAGAAGTCTTAAATTGTCTCCATACTTTAGTCGCTGTTGATACACCTAATGCAGTAGTATGTCAAAGGTGTAACAGAATCTTTGTTCACACAAGTGGGAGTGTCGATTTTTGGACTCAAACCTGTAGTTGCAACGATTCCGGACCAGATTCCAAGTCCCTTCCTCTCAACTTTTGTTCAGTACGTTAAAAGAATTTTGTAAATTAACATTACTTATTGAGTATTAAGTAGTAATTATATTTCGTTTCGGAATGGTCAGAATCCCGTAAGAATAACAGGACGCAAAATATCGGCCCCTCAAATTGGCTATGAAGATTATGAGCATAGAGCTACCTTAACGCCCCCTCAAAAAATGGCCTTCAGGCAAAATCATGACGATCTTCAAGGCAATTTCACTCAAAATAACCACTTCCAGGGTCAGCAACTACTATCAAGCACGCCAAGATCTGAACCGATTAATTGGAATTCAAAATCAGGAAATTCCGAAAATGTATCCCCACTAGCGTATTCTGTTGGGTCCGTTAGTGGAACTCAATCAGGAAACTCATTTTCCTTTATTAACAATGGTTAGTAATCTATTTCAGCCATTATGTTAAAAGAATTCAACACCATATAAGGATATTTTACAAATCAATTTCCTACGATTTAGATATTTGTAGTTTAGTTGCTTTCGATTGACAACTACCTCTTGAACCTTACTTGAGTTTATCGTAAATTTAATCGATAAAAAGCTGATCAGGCAACATTTACATTGAAATGCGAATATGTTGGATTATTTGAGAACAACGAGGAATAAGTGATGCTACCAGTCTTATAAATTCTAATTATTTCGTCTTCCACGGTGCTTGTACAACAATGGCGATTCTAATGTATATAAGAAGTAAAGAAATGGATTGTTTCCTTTATGTAAATTACCTTGGACTAATAGATCATATTTTTATTTATTTCTAGATACAAGAAAATTAGAAAGTAAGTTGATAAACGTTGAGTTTCAAGGACTTCATAACTCAATGTATTAGAATTTAAAGCAATATAATTTCTTTAGTTCAATTCGTACTCTTTGAATAAATGGTCTTATTATTAGGCATTAACTTCTTAAAAGTAGAAATTGGCTTAAGTATTATTTAACTGTATTGCTTTGACTTCCTGTGTAGTAAAGGTGCCACAAAAACTCAATCCCGTCCACACAGCACACACTCGAAAAAATACGCAATAACCCCCCTCTTAAATGTGGGATGTAGTGAATTATGCTCAGGTTATCGATTACCGATTAATCACGGTTGATTGCATGATAGGCAAATGTTTCAGAACTAGGGTACATACCAGTGCTTTGCAAATTTAAGATGACCCACAATTTACCTCCTTTCGGCTTTCTAAAGGTTGGGAACCAAACCTCCAAGGACCGTTGAAAAGTGAATGGACTCCGCAAAACTATTCAGAGCCAGAAGGCATTGACATGACACTGAACTTTTGGAATAGTACCCCTTCTACACCTACGCCTCCCAGAAAGCAACAACAATCAACCTCAAATAATGGAAGCATGATTCAACTTTGGCAGTTCCTCCTGAATGAACTCAACGACCCTACGGCCCGAAATTATATTAACTGGACGGGTGTAGAAGGAGAATTCAAGTTGAAAGATCCCTCAGAGGTCGCACGACGTTGGGGTCTGAAGAAGAATAAGCCCAAAATGAACTACGAAAAACTAAGTCGCGGTCTTAGATATTACTACGATAAGAATATTCTCAGAAAAGTTACGGGAAAGCGATATGTTTACTGCTTTACCAATAATATTATGAGAAATCTCACAGGACGATTCCGAGAACCTACATCTAGTAATACAAGTTAAACAGAAAGTGTTACTGAAACCCATCTCTAGCACTTATTACTAATATTCTTTGTATTCTTTGTTATTGCTTCCCCTTTTCAGTAGTTGAGAATCAATTATATGTTTTGATATTTAGTCTTGAAGATTTTTGAAGTGAAAATTTCTATATAAATATATACGTTTATATTAAAATAATGTTCCTTCTTAAATTCGAATGAACTGTATGTATCAAAAATTACAGGGAAATTGACATTTAATGTTGAACGGTTTTTCAGGCTTGGAAAGTATTCTAGTAAATAGCTTTGGAATTAAATAATAGAAGGAGAAAATTTGAGAAAAGATTGCTAAGCCAATACTCTTCCTCTATAAAGCAAGAAGACAGAGGATTAAGTTGATACTTTATCTTGGGAGGTAACAGAGCAAGAATAGGAGTTAGCCAAATAACTGAATAAGTAAAAATACAACTGAATGGGTAAAAGATGTTAATAAGATTCAGGATCGAGAAATGAATCATACTCAGCAAAACGTGGATTCCGATGCTTAGGATAGGGAACATTATGGAAATGGATAAGCGAATTAACCGAAAATTGTAGTCTTCGTATATGTTTTATTTGATTATGTTCTACATTGGAAACACTTTTCAGGATAATTAAGACTATTCTAAGGTCCTCATAAGCCGTACTACCATTTATGCTTTTAATAAAATTTATATTCGGGAAGAGGTATGCTCAAGACATTTAGTACACTCTCCGCTCATTAAAAATTTTAGCAGTCTCTGAAAATCTATTTCATATATCTCAAAGGTATTGAAAGTTTTGGAAGGACCATAGATAAATTTTGACATGTCTACCTTTATCATCAGCAATGCATTTTTCAGAGTTATTGTGATGGAGTAATTGTCGATTTCCAAACTTCCATATTTGGAACTAGGGGTGTGCGATAGACTTACCACCACGTGGTGAACCCTGGGTAACGTATACTCATACGGGTAAAAGGTCTATTATTTGGCAGTTGACTTTGACTTCAAACTACCATCACCTCACTGTATGTCACATTCGACTACTTCCACCGTACTCACATCACCTTTTTTACCTTTGTGCCTGTATCTTTCACATCTTTGAAACTCTTCTGTTCCCCCCATCCAACTCGAATTTTTCACTTTGATGTTCCTTCCCTTCTGTGAACCCTGAAGTCAACTAAAGGGCTAATGATAACTATCAAAACGCCTGCCATTTGATATAAATAAATATTTAGAACTATGTAAAATAGTTTAATATTTCACTCCTCTCTCATAAATTTAGACAAATCGGAAATTTGCATTAGAAAAAATTATCAGAAAATTCATTTTGAGTGTCCTTGGTTAAACTTTCAACTAATAATGTGTCAATGGGAGCCATTCATTCTTTTATTTAAATTAATTCAATCGCGATGCATTCGCATTGATTTACTAATAAATGGTTAGAAGCTAACTATTGATCATAGATGGATTGCTAAATTCTCACCAATATGAAGGATAACTGGATGTGTGATGAAAAGCAGGAGTGATCTGCTCACGATTGCTTTTAAGAATGCAGTCTTTATAAGAGAGGGCGAAATTACAGTCCGAGTGGAAAATCGAATAACGAGGTGCCAGAGTACTTTCGAAAATGTGTATGAAGTGAGATGCTTTATCCCGTGGTGCGAAACCGATCGGTTCACCCATGTTTGGAGAGTTAAGCCAATTTTGTGGCCCGTTTTGTTCCCCTCCCCTATCAATTGTCCCTACTTTTAAGTGAAAAATTCCCCAATACAAATTGGAAGCAAGGGATTATATACAGTTAAACGCAAATGTTCTCATTAACATATTGCAGGGCATCATCTTGAATGTCAGTGAACTATAAGCTCAGGAACACCTCGAGGAGCAACAGTGTGAACAAGCCATTTGGTATTCACAAAGTGAAGATATGAATCTTGCATTCTATGCCAATTACAGAAAAATTATAAGCTACTTAGATAAAACACACCCTCATCAGGCTAGATAACTCAGAGCACTCACAAATTGGTAAAAGAATATTATGTATTATTCACTCGGTAAAAGGGTTCAAACGAATTTAATATGTTCGATTCATTAGGGTTGAAGCGAAAAGATAAGAGCATACTCCTGCTACATTATAAACAACTATTAGTGCTGACGAGAACAGCGATTAACTATCAACGTGTTCAAAGTTTGATCGAAGCCAATAAGGCGGTGATGACAAAAGACATCATTAGATTAGTAGAGCCCGTCAGGTTCACTGTCTTCATGTCAAATCCAATGGCATAATCCCAAGCCTGGAACAGAAAATATTGAAATCAATACTTGACCAGCTATTAAAGAGCAAAACAAGACCGACAAGGGCAACTTACTAAATGTCTCATACCATTGGTGTAATGATATACCAAGGGATAGGCAAGAAGGAATTTAGCTCCATAAAGAACCGTAGAACCAAATTGGAAGCTGTTAACGTATTCAAGCATGGCATCGAAATTACCAGTATACCAGAAGCCCGCACAACCAGCGCTCATCCAAGCTGAACAACAGAAAAAACTCCATTAATTACAAATTGAGGCAAGGTCATGTCAAGATCGTAGAAGTCGTTTACCAAGAGCCATGGCAACACCAGTGGCACGATGCATGAATGAGGTAGCCATACAAAGTGGTGGGCTGTAGATGGTAGCATGAGGGGAAAGCGGACGTTTCAATTTGAGATTCTTTTCCCAGTAGTCTTGCATTTCAGTTTGAGCTTGAAGGCGAACTTCCTCAGGTGATGTACCTTTGCCATTTGCAATGACATTCAACACCGGAGTAGTACGAAGAAGAGTAGAAGGAGAGACCAAAGAGTAGTTTCTCGAAACGAAAGCCCGAATAGGGGCAGCGTTGGCACGTAGAAAAGCACTGCAATCAAAGCGATTATTTAAAACCACAACTATGATTTAATAAGAGCTATTGAATTGATTGATAAATGATAAAATAAGAAAAAAACATTTCACGAACATGGTAATAATAACCTGAGAGCGGAACTACCTGGCCATAGCCGACATATTTGATACCGCACCGCGAAAAAACGGCAGTAAGAAGGGGTTAAACACAGTCAATCGTCTCTGGTAACTGATATTAAATTTATCCTCATGATCGCTAGTCTTTTACAGGAATGAAGGTATTTTAATGATAATTATATTTTTATTCACTAAAAGGACAAACTTTAGACAACTGAGTTCAAAATGACTTATTCTAAGAGTACTATTTTTAGTTACAAATATTTGTTAAAGATGTGCAACCTAATTTGATTAGGTGATCAAGCAATGCTTTAAATTTCATTTTAAGTTAATTGATCTATATTTATTTTACAAATTGATGATAAAAGAAGTTACGTAGGTGCCCGTTCAGCTGTAATGATGGATGCATAAGCGTACATCGGAAAACAAAATATCTAACGTTTGTATGCCCCAGTATTCAAACCAAAAAATGTTGTTTTTGATTGATGAAGCATTTCTATTATGAACTTCTTTGTAAAGTACATTGATATTGGTTTAAAGTGTGCCACTAATGCACTTATACCGTTTGATCGAATTGGCATTTCAAATAGATCGATTCAGATATATGAAAAAGGGTACAAATTACACGCCATATGATTATAATTTTAGGTTATGATTATTACGACACATCAATCATTTAATTATTTTGTGTTCAACGCATAGCATTTTCAAAAATATTCACCGTGGCGTGACTAGCAACAACTGAAAATTAACTATAATTGGAATTGACATTTTGTCTATCTTTAAGTATTATAGTCACGAACGCTTAACGTAAAATCAACTTTAAATTGCAGGTATAAAAATGAAATCAATAGAATAATAAATCAAGTACGCCTAAATCAATGACAACTCATAATGCCTCGCATTTAAAACAATGGAATTAAAATAATGCAGCTATAATGATCGAAGTTTTCCTAGTGTAACGCGTTATGAATTTTGCAATGATTTAGTCGCTCATTTACTCTTGAACGAAACAATTGGCTTTGTAATATTCGAATATTTCGAATATACTTTATGTACATTTATTTAAGAACAGTTAATTTTTTGTTATATTCAGATCTTATCCAATCGTTAAAAGGGCGAAATCTTTGGTCGCATCAATTTAAAAAAAGGAAAATCCTATAACAGTTAATACACATAGATTTGGGAACAATGTCAAGTTCGAGGTAAATTCATTGAAGAAATATGTTTAGTAAAATTAAAGATTAATTAATGACAAATCAATTAATAGCAATGATAACAAAATCAAACCTTAGAATCCTTAGAAATCCAATAATTTACACGATGTTATAAACAATGTTGGCAAAAATAAATGTTAAGTAATAGGAACATGGAATTATTTATGGATTTGCTGTAATTAAGAAATTTGAAAATTAATAAATTAGTTTAAACTAAATGCAAAAGGGTCCTCATATTGATATTAAAATCTTTAAAAAATAGCTTGATATAAAGTTATTCAAGAATTTTAACATTATACGAATGCGTGAAAATTTAAACGTTCGATATTTATCCAAAAACTAATTAATTGTTTTTAGATAAGATAAAAATTCAGTTCTACGAAAAGTCGCAAATAAATTTTAAATCGTGCTTGAAAATATTATTTTTTTTGTGACCTTAGCCTTGTTTTTACAAGCAGTATGGCGCGATATTAAAGGACTTATTTCAGCGACTTTTTGTATCTAATCTCTCCAAATTGTCATGTCTCCTCTTTCTTTGTAAATAATCTTATAATAAATAAAGTTTCCCTAATATTTAATTTTAATTTAATTAAATAATCATTTATTTATTTAGCCCCATTTTGCGTATAGCTACTGCGTCTTTTCGTGGATTTGGAGCAAAAAACTTTTCCACGGTTTCTCGCTTGTCTCTTCTTCGATCTTCTCCAGT